TCACCAGCTGGATCGGCGCGTGTATTTTCGATTTATTTACGACAGGAAACAACGTTCTTAATCCTTTAATCCTTAATCCTTGTTTACGACACATTGCCAAATGATTACGTGCCAACGAGTGTCGAAGACGGTGCACGCGAAAAGTCGTCGATTTCTCGCTTCGCAGCCAGGCGTAGCCGGACTCCTTTGCATCCTGGTGCGCTTGCAGGGCTCGATGCACGGAGAAGAGATAAAGGAAAAAGCAAAAGGAGGGGAAGATGGAGAAAGAGAGAAAGAGGGAAGAGTGGTTGCGCTGTCGCGCGACGTGGCTCGCGGTAATAGGATTTCACGTAAGCAGCCTCCCAGGCAGCGGCCAAAAATCGAAGGAGCTTACGGCGAGATGCGCTGCCGGCCGATGCAGCCAGAGCGTTGCTGGCTCGAAACGAACGGCCGAGGAAAAAGGAAGATGAAAAGGCCGGCGGGAGGGGGGCGGCGGAGGGAGGTGACGCGACACTGGAGAACAGGGTGGCGGTGGGCACGGGGAGAGACACAAAGGAGGAGAGAACGGGGCAGGGTGGAGAGGCAGCGAGAAAGAAAGACGTCCGGCCCGTACAATTTTAATTAACCCGGTACCGGGTAGCCGATCGCGATCGAATCGGGTGCACGATCTACAAGGAATCTACATAAGATCCTCCACTCGCGGCTACAACTCAATCCCCTCTTTCTATTCCGCTCTCTCGGCGGGCCTTAAGCGACCGGCCCGCCACGGACCTCCTCTCTCTCTCTCTCTTTCTTTCTCTCTTTCCTTCTTCATCCACGTGCACGTTTTATGTATACTCCTCTATGTGTACGGATTCGTGCGGTGGACACGAAGAAGAGGCGCGCACAATCTTTGCGCTCCCGCCGTGGCTTCCCCTCGTATCCTTATCTCGGCGAGCATCGAAGATAGCAAGCTCGCCAGCATCCACCGAGCTCATATTGTTCTCCTCCCATGCACCGTGTAACTTACCGACCGAACGAAACCGTGAGTCATCTCTCTCTCTCTCTCTCTCTCTCTCTCTCTCTCTCTCTCTCTCACTTTTCTTCTTTTTCATCAAGAAGCAGGCAAGACTGCTCGTGCGTTCACGGTGGACTTAACGAAGTTTAGGATTCTTGCTTACGTTCCTCCTCGAAAATCCGCTTGGTTTCTCCGGTCGTTGGTTGGTACTCGAAAGAAACGCGCGATCGAGCCCGAAAGGGGAGCGCGGCATCCAAGATTTCGCTCGTGTTCGCGCGTCCGCGCGTATTAGAGCACTCCGGCGAAACGGTGAACGCGCGGCCAACGCAGCCATACGGAGAAGCTCGGTAACACGATAGCGGCCGTATGTAAAACCATCTGGTGTAAAACGAGCTGCTGGCTCGTTCGAGTATTAAATCGGCCTTCTCCCATCCCTCTTCCCGGCTCTCCTCCTCTCAATCGCCACCCTCTTCTCCTTCTCCTACGATCGCCCCGATCCGCGTCTCGAATTGGTCTCCCCTTTATCCGGCTCGATCGACTCTACACGTTCGCTGTTCACCTCTCGGTACGCGCATGATCGTGGACACGAGGGATCCACGTTAAGCCGACGTTAAACCGTGGCGTAGCGCGCCAAAGACGAAGATGAGAGAGACGACGGTGAAGAAGACCCGTTGCCGCACACGCGTCGGCCTCGAGACGCGAAACGTCCACCGAGTCGAACGTCCTCCCGCGTTGAACTCCCGGCTTAATCGGCCGCGGTCAACCGGTCGCGAAACAAAGGATGGCCTCTTGCCAGCGATCGCCACCGAGAGATACCGCGCGCAGTGAACCTACCGTGCCTGAAAGAATGCCGCTTTCCTCCTCCGCCGCGAGGAAAAACGCAAGAGCACTGGCCACGTCCGGCTCCAACATCGTTAAGCGACCGCGAACGCGCGTTCTTCGACGACCGTGGAAACGACACTTTGTAAAACGGTTAATGGGCAATTAAACGACCGGCTTTACGTTTCGGCCGGATTATATTAACCTCTTGCGCTGGAATGACACGCCACGCACGTCGAGTACTTTTTGTCCCAAAATTGCAACGTTCTCTCAGTTTTAAGAAGTATATTTAAATGTAAACTAGGCAAAATAAATCATAAATTCATTACTTCTTATTAAGTAATTTCTATCCAGTGACATACAGATGAATTCAAAAAGAAGACGAGTTATTATATACGATTCGGTCACTCGTTATGGTCCGCGAACCAGTTGCCAGCGCAAAGGGTTGATGTCTTGTGCTGAAATGACGTGCCACGCACATCGAGAACTTTTTGTCCCAAAATTGCAACATTTTCTCAATTCTAAGTATATTTAATATTTATAATCCAGGTGAAACAAATAATAAATTTATTACTTCCCAATAATTTCTATCCAGTGATATACCGACGAGTTCAAAAGGAAAAAGAAAGCGACGAACTACACGGTTCGATCACTCGTTATGGTCCGCGAACCAGTTGCCAGCCCAAGAAGTTAATCTCTTGCGCTGGAATGACGTGCCACGCACGTCGAGAAATTTTTGTTCCAAAATTGCAACATTTTCTCAGTTTTATGTATATTTAATATCTATAACCCAGGTAAAACAAATAATAAATTTATTACTTCTCAATAATTTTTATCCAGTGATATACCGACAAGTTCAAAAGAAAAAAAGCGACTAATTATTGTATGCGGTTCGGTCACTCGTTATGGTCCGCGAACCAGTTGCTGGCCCAAGAAGTTGGAATGACGTGCCACGCACATCGAGAATTTTTTGTCCAAAAATTGCAACATTTCCTCAGTTTTTGGTATATTTATAAATGTAATCCAGGCAAAACAAATGATAAATTTGTTACTTCTCAATAATTTCTATCCAGTGATATCATACCGACGAGTTTAACAAGAATGCGACGAATTATTGTATATACAGTCACTCGTTATGGTCCGCAATCAGGTGCCAGCGCAAGTGGTTTTAACGTCGCGTGTCCTTGTTCCTGGCGGGCAAGAGGTCGAGGGAGAGTGAACGCGAGGAAACCTCGCACGTAGCCCTCGAAAACTAGGCCGAGAAAGGATTTATACCTTGCATTCGCTGCCATTTGGTGTTTCTATCAAAATTTTTTCACGCCGTGTACCTGCGTATTCGTGGTACACGGAACATTGACGTATGAAGAGCGAGCATGTTCGACAGGATACCTCATTTCCCTTTTCTTTCCATGGCGATCGTTCAGCGATCGCGCGTCTTTGATTGCGATTAGCCGGTTACGAGAAACAGGAATCCTCCTTAGACACGCGATTATGCCGCCTGGAGAGGAAAGTCTTGTCGATCGATCTTGGACAAACTGCTGGACTTCGATTTCCATCGAAACGCGAGGAACGTCATGTGCGAGCGACTTGAACGACTCTCGGTCCTTGTCCGATCGGCGGATCTCTATTACAGTACACGGCTGTTTGCGCGGATGTCTCTAGGTCTCGAAACGCTGCATGTCGCTCGCTAATAATAATAATACGAGCCGATCTATCACCCGCTTAATGAGAACGAAGGCAGCCATGGTCCCCGCGAGGTCTTGTTAATCGCGTTTATCTCGGTCCGACCAATGCCTATTTAAGACACGCGTCGCTTGTGCACCACGATATTTCAACGAATAAAAGTTTCTCTCACGCGGGCTGATTTTTTGCAAGCCGGTCTTATTTTTTGCTCGACCGTTTTTTGCAGAGATTGAAAATTTTTCTTTTTTCTTTTCTTTTTCAGCAGATGTAGCCTGCACGAAGACTGAATTCTCAACGAGGAGATTTTCAATAAAAATCGTGGAAAAGCAAGTACCGGAATTATCTCTAAATGATTGGTTCCGGTCGAAGATGGTACCGAGAATCAAACAGTAACGACATATTCGGGATAGAGCTAGGCGAAATTACAGCGTTTAAATTCTGTGGATTCTAACTCTTTCTGTGGATCCTTGAACCTTAATCGCTCGCGAGAAGTAACGCGTTATTACTTTGAATTTGTCGTCGACATCGCGAAGCTGATTCGGCGGCAGTGGCCGTTGAATGTCGAACGAAGACTGTCAGTGGAGGAGTCAACGAAAAAGTAAAGCAAACGGACAGAAGGGAAAATCTTGGGAGAATCGATGGATATTAATGTCGTTTAACTCTAGACTAATTTCCATAATCCCTTGCGCTGGAATGATGTGCCACGCATGTCGAGAATTTTTTTGTGTCCCAAAATTGCAACATTTTTTTCAGTTTTAAGTATATTTAAGTACAATCGAGGCAAAACAAATAATAAACTTATTACTTCTCAATAATTTCTATCCAGTGATATCATACCGGCGAATTCAAAAAGACAAAGAAAGTAACGAATTATCGTATACGGTTTGGTCACTCGTTATGGTCCGCAATCAGTTGCCAGCGCAAGTGGTTGGAATGACGATCGTATCTGTTTACGCAAGTGATATCCGAGAATGTTGTTTCTTTCGGATGTATATTCTTAATTAATCCAACAAATATGGGATAAAAATACTAATAATGTATATATTGCATGATACCATTTAGACAAAGGAATTTACAACGATGACAAACTTCTTGCACAATATTTTGCACTGTAGACCGATACATTATCGGCTTAGGCAGGATTGTGACAACAGAGAATTGATTCTAATTGTCCCTAATTTTCCCTGACTCTAGGAAAACTGTTCCATCTTATAACTAATACTCTAATACACTAATACTCTGGGATAACTGTTCCACCCTATAAATAATAAGATTTCATTGCAGCTGAAGGACTCGAAGGATCGGAAAAGACACGGAACATTGTAACTTATAAACCGAAAAGCGACAAAACAGTTCAAGCGAACATCAATGATTCTACCAATAAATCGGAAATAATACATTTCTATAATAGCATCAAGGGTCGTCACAGCCAGTTGAATAGTTGGCGAGAGTTGGCAGATAACGAAACTGTGTGAAGAACAGTCTCGGTTAGGGACGTGTCAAGAAAGTCCATGCCACTGACCTTTCTCGTAGTTGATTTGCCTCTCCTGCTGCCTCGCGTTGTCGGCCGCGACCTTGAGCAGGCCCTGGATATTCCTGAGCAGGGTCTCCGTACTCGAGACCGAGGGATCCTGGCCTCCCTGTGAAACTGCCACCGCCGCGGAGGCGATCTGCGAGTAGTTCAGGGCCTGAGGACTCTCCGATCCCGGCGCGGGTAGCGGCAGGTTCTCTGGCACGTCCGACAAATCTGAAAAATATCATCCACACACGTGAAGGATTCCTCGATTCGATCGAATGTCACTCATCATCCGCTGATTGATTCGCGTAAGGTTTCCTTACTGAATGTTCATTGCCTGTTACCAATTTCAATTTCAAAGATTTTATTATTATTAGACATTTCAAGTTATTTATTTTATTATCGTTATTCATGTTTTATTTTATTATTACCGACACCTTTATGCGAAGATTATTAACTTTCTACTTATCAAATTAACTATCTAGTTAATGAAGTTTATGAAGATGGGTGTCTTGAATGAATGAGGAGAGATATTAAACTGAAGAAATTTGAATTGATACAAAGACGACTGACGGAATTATATTGTTTATAAAGCGAAAATAATTGCGTGATCTAAAATCCATCAAATTTAACGCAATTTAAATAGAATAATATTTCGAGACATTCAACAAGATTGTCAAGAATTTTAAAAATAAATAAACCATCAAATATTATCTTTTCTCTCAAGAATATGTACATTTAATAGAATATGTTCATAGTTATGACACGTTACACACACAGGAAAATTTATACGATAAGAAACTATCGTGTTAACGTGCTCTCTATAATACAGGGACTAAATAATTGAATCAAATTTCAGTTGAGAACAGAATAATGAATAATAAAACACACGTAAAGAATATTAATGTTACGAAAACAAATTTTCGTCAGATGAAACCAAATCTCCACGATGTCTCATGTATTTATGTACAATGTACATAAAAAATATTGCTATGCCATAATACTTAAATTTTATACCGGAGTTGGGCAGTAACCAATTATGTCTGTAATCGATTACTAAATAGTAATCATTACTCACTTAATCACTATTAAAATAAATCAGTAATTTTGATTAATTTTTGTAATTTGTAATCGTTAATCAGTGATTTTTAAATCATTAAGTGATTAATTTACATTTTATTACGATCTGCAATTGCTATAAAATGTTCAAACGTGTTAATCACCTAGAGTTGTACTATTTGACGTAACTAAGTGTTATTATTAATTGCAGTTTGAATAGTAGACTCACTAATAGATCAAAACTAGAGAGAATATCTTCGCTGTCCAACACAATAATATCTGTATTGTTGAATTTAGAATAATTTGTTAAAGCTTATAATCCTCCGGTATATTTTTGATATAAGAATGAGTATCAAAAAATCTCAAAATTTTTAATCATTCGGAAAGTTCATATTCGAGTCATACAGAAGATTGTGCGAATAACATATAAGATTTTGAATCGATAGAAAATTTTTTGAACATACATTTACATCCCGATAAAATTGTAGGATTATGTAAATTGTAAACAGTTATAATAAATATATAATTTTCACAGTATTATTGATAGAAATGACCTATTGGCACAATCACAAAAGTGTAATTATTTTGTGATTAATGATCTTGATTACTTTCCTTATCCTTATCCATTACTAATTATGTTGATAATCAGTAATCGTGATTAATATTGTAATTCCCCGTTAATTATAATCGTTAATCAGATTACGTTTTGCCCAATTTTGTTTCATACATTCCACGTAAATACAAAAATTTGACACTGTGAAAATAAAATGTAAAACTTGACAAGAAAACTTTGAAAAATAAAGAATACGTGTATTAACAGATACTTTTTATAGCACGAAACGTTCTACAAATGTTCAATCGCGTATCATACGCGAGTCAATGATCGTCTTTCCACGCGTGTATCAAATTTGCACGCCGAATGAAGTTTTTGCTTTATACTTAAACTCTCTCGTTATTTTTGTACATTTTTAATATGAATAAAATTATTTTTTGCATAATATATTTTGTTACGTAATATGTTTCCAACATTCATTGTACTAGTAAGTAAATTTCCAGCTCTCAGAAAGCTAGAAAACACCGAATTTTCACATATTTCGCAGAAATGGTACCCTGCATCGTGTATCAATTCTGATACACGCGGGATTTTGGCTGCACTTCACTCGAAATTGTCTCGGCATTCGTCAATTAACAATTAAGTCGACCTCGATCATCCACGAACTGTGAAGCGTAAGCAGCGTACAGGAGAATACGCGTGTAATAATCAGACAAGCGAACGAACGGCAACGAGAACTCGCCTATTAGCCCCGTCTCTTTGTGACTTTTTGTCTGGCGTGAGTGCGCGTATCGAAGCCGCGTCGCCGATAAATTTCGCCGAAGGATCGTGGAACAACGTTCGAGGGAGGTCTGGCTCGCGCGGGCCGCTCTCTCGAGGAGGAGACTTACAACGCGTGCGTGTTCCAGAGTCGTAATCCCGCGACGACTACTTGTTACCCTTCGCCACGTCTCTGATTTAACGTCACCGCGGACGAATTAAATTCGCGAATTAAAACGGCACTCCACCGAGCGATTAGCCGGCCCGTGGTGCGTGGCACCGCGGGGCGAACCAGGACGAGCACACCGAATTGTCGTTTGTTTCCAGCCGCGCGATTTATCCTCCGTTATCGCGCCGCGGGTAGAGAATTTCGATGGAAAACCCTCGAGATTCCACGAAGGACGCCGATCTGTCCGATCGAACACGTTCTTCCCCCGTTTCTACTACTTCTTTTTCTGCTTTCTATTCGAGGTCGCGATTCGTCGCCTCGTTATTCTCTCTCTATCGACGATTAGCCTGGAAGCATGGTTTTCGTCGCCGGGAGGGAAGGAAGGAAGCGTGGCTGTGCGCCAGCGTGGAAGGATCCGTAGATCGGCAATCGCCGGAATAAAGGATGCCTTATGGTTATTGCCAAAGAGGTCCGGAGAGTGGCGAGACAAGACGTCTGCGTGGGTTCTACGGAGCTTAAGTGACCGGTCCGTGCGCTCCTACAGCCCACACCGTGGGCTTTAGCCCCGGCTGCTTTATGGCCAATGATACGTGCTTTATTGTATCGTCTTTTAATTATCAGCGCGCACCTACAACGCCACGGCATTCGGTTACTTATTGCCATTGGCCGATTTAATGCTCGCACGGCTGCCTTCGGTGCCGATCCGCCGGCACCTTTTGATAGCACAAACCTTTCCACTCTTCTGTTTCTCCTTCTCGTCGCCCCACTCTCTCTCTCTCTCTCTCTCTCTCTCTTTCTCTTTCTCTCTCTTCCCTCCTTTCTTCTTATTTTTCGTTTCCTTTCTTCCTTTGCCCTTTTTCCTCTCGATTTCTTCTCGACGGTCGTCTCATCGCCGTTTCGTTCCCCGCTCGAAAACCCATTACAATTATCTGCGTCGGAGACGCCAAGGGGCAACGTATTCCCCGCATCGAATTCGCAAAACGCGGCGACGAGAGATTTCGCGAGGCTCGCGAGTCTCTCCCCGGCCAAGGAGTTAAAAGGAATCGGACGAAATCTCCAGGAAGTCGGCTAAGAAACGAGCGAATCGCGGTGGATCGGATTCCAGGAACAAGAGCGAGATAGCGGCGCGTCTCATTAAATCAGAACTGCATTCCACGGGCGTGTACACTCCCACGGGCGTTCGATGGGGTTCTACTTCGATCACCGCGAGCACCATAGGTAGGATGTAGCCCATGTATACGACACGCTGCGAGACACGAATTTCTTCCCTCTCCGGTACACGACCACCAGAATTTATACGTCTAACTCGTGTCTTTCCCGAAATTTAGGGGCCCGCTAATTCTACTCTGCAATCCTTACTCTCTCTTCCCCCCCCCCCTCCTCCTTCTCAATCCTAATTCACTCGAGTGCCATTTACTTTTTTTTCTGGTTTTGACACTATAACGGCTACCACGAAGATCGACAAGGTCCATTAAAAATTTATGAAATCTGATATTTTCTTCTTTGTACATAAAAGAAAATAATTACAGCGCGGGACACGCGAAAACGATGTACTATCAGAATTTTTTTCGACCTTCGTTCTTAATTTCTTATGATATGATTTAACTGTAGTGGAAACCTAGCTCAACAGTTACATATGCATATATAGTGCTATTTATATTAAACGTTTTTTTTTATTTATCCAACACATTTTCCAGAGATCTGTCGCTTCCTTAACATCGTAACGTACTGTATTTTTTACAGGTACGCTTTTTTCTTTCACGTTAGATATTTAGATGTTATTTTATACTAGTCTCTTAATACCTTAATCTTACAATTAAAGTATACTGCCATTTTAATACACTTTTGAATTCTTTCAAAAGACTTTCCCTTATATATGAGATAAATAAATAAATAATTGGTAATTATAAATTTGTAAAGAATAACGAATATAAACGTGAAGCAATCAATCACTAGCGTTGACAATCACGTGACACCATACACTGATCGTTATAGTGTGTTTCGTGAATTTCGTATTCCCTTAAAATTTTCTACTCACTGTAAGATTCGGTGATTTTCTTTTTACTGTTATTTTTATTCGTACGAGATACAAGACGTACGAAGAAGAAACGTGGTAGGAAGAAAGATGTCCTTAACGTTCTCGTCAACCGAGGCGAAAACTCGCAGGCTCTAATTGGAATATCCAATTAACGCGCGGTGCGCGGACAATCGGCAAATCGATTAGAAATCACCGCGATTATGACGCTTCGGTGCATCGAAGCGCCAGGACAGCCGAGATGGCACCGTGGTCCACGGGCCGAGATTTTTATCTAGACCCATCTTTCATTATTAAAATGAAACTAAACACCGAAGATGCGATTCTAACGACCAACGGACCCATCCGCCAGTGGTGCTCCCTCCACGCCGATGATCGTTCTGCGCGAATCTCGTTTGCGCCAACGCTTCTCGACAACACACAAAGAGACATCATACCAATGTTTCTTCGATTCGACAAACTTTTCAACGACAGATCGTGAATGACATTCGATCAAATGGAATTTCGTCGAGAATGATTTGCATTTGAAAACGGATGCAATTGTGAAATTTCACCAACGCGATCCAATTCGACGCGAATGCACGAAGAACCCCGAAAAGGGTGAAAGTTTCGAGCTCGACTGACAAGTTTTGACAACCGCTGAGGCGAGGCCTCGGTTCGTTCGGGACGCGCCGGATGGAAGACGAATCCCAGAGAACGTCGTTCCGCGGCGGGCCCCCCGAGATGATCGATGAGAGGGTCTGACCTACCAGTCGTCCCGGAGAACTCATCTTTAAACGCGGTCTGTCCGGTCCATTCGATATAATTATTTTACGTATGCGTGCCGCGCGGAACGGACGGAACATCGTTTCGACTTTCGGCACACGTCAAATCCACCGTCACGCTCTACCTGGCTTTAATTGATCGACCGATCGTCCCGGTCGACGTGTCGATCGGCGCGACGCTTAGGAGATCGGCCGGTCGCGCGGCAATTTTCCACGAGCGGATTATTGTGGCCGCGCCACGCTCTCTCACCTTCGTCCTTCTCGTTGTCGTCGTCCAGGTCCTCGGACAGATTGTCGTCCTCCTCCTCGTCGTCTTGCGAACGATGCGACGCCTCTGCCTCGCTTCCGGAGTGCTCGCCTACGCTTCCGCTTCCCGCCGTCTTCGACAGGTTCAGCACGGGACTGTGACCGTTCGAGGAACCTGTCAACAAGATCGTCTCATGAAACTGTCGTCCGTGTAACGCGTCCGATAACGATCTCGCACGCGCCTCTACGATTCACCCGGCGAATAGAGTGGCTCTCGATCGACAACGATTGATGGATATTATTTGTCCACCGTCCGCGTCTCCGTTTGTACGAGAAGGAACAGACCGTCCAATTTCCAGAGCGGTTGATCCGCTCCCTTCGTATTTTGATATCCCGGCATTTTAATCCTGACGTGGATAGATACTGTTTGGCCAACGACGCCGAGCGGAATGACGCATCCGCTCGAGGCTAGTTCGTGGTTCGATCGCAGCGAACAACCAAACGTGGTTCGTCGACGATCGAACGAACGAACGGAGTCTCGACGCGAGGCGAGGATCACCAGACGCCGGTAGAACGCGGTCGATTAAGCACGGCTCGACGTCCACGATGAAATCCTCGGAGAGACAAGGGCGGCACGAGGTTTCCGTGGGGCCCGCGGCTCCAACACGATCCGATTCGAACACCGAACGTCCAGTTTGTCGCTCGCCGGTCGCCCGCCAGCAGAATAAAAGGTTCGATCGAACGGATTAAAATATTACGGGGAATCAGAAGAAAGAGCCGGAGCCGCGCGGTGCCCCGTAACCTGATATCGGACTTAATCTCTCCAGGCCGCCTAAACGCTCGGCCGGGCTAGCTGCGAGAAATAAAGAAATCGAGAAAGGGACTGGCCGTTCGCTGTCCGGACACGCTCTGTTAACTCGTCGTGGTCTTCCTTCGTTCGTCGTGGCCTGGCCCCGCGGGTTTTCACGCGTTTAACCTCCTGCGCTGGAACGACGTCGAGAACATTTTGTCCCAAAATTACAACATTTCCTCAGTTTTAAGTATATTCAAGTATATCCCAGGCAAAACAAACGATGAGTTTATTACTTCTCAATAATTTCTATCCAGTGATGTCGAATCCGATGAGGTTCAAAAGAAAAAGAAAGCGACGAATTATTGTATACGTTTCGGTCACTCGTTATGGTCCGCGAACGAAAGTTACCAGCGCAAGGGGTTAAAATACAGTTTGTATAGGGTGGCCACTGGAAAACTGAAGAGTTTGAAAAAGTCATAACTTGTTCATTTTCAATCCTTTTTCTTTTTTTATCTTGCTTTTCTGTAAGTTATAGAAAAAAATATTGAAAAAAATCCATTATATTTCCAAATAAAATAATAAACAATGAAAGAAACAGGTCTTTGTGAAAGTTATTTTTGTTTCATATCATTCAGTCTATCAGTGACCAGCCTGTATAAATATAAAAACGTTCAAGTTTTATATTCGATTCGAGGAATTTCGAACGCACGTTACAACACATCAGAATTTGTTGTTTATCAGGGAAGAAAGTACAAAAGCATCCTCCTCCACCGACGAAGGATCAGCGAAAAAACCTGCGATCGACCTCGAATCACGGGGAATCGCTAGGAGAAGAAGGATTCATCGTCCGCGTAATGGCGCTCGACCTATAATACGACTCGGCGTTATTCGCTGTGTATTATCGGCCGATTACTATAATTACGGTAAACGAGCGTACGCGTATTTATCTTACCATTGTGCGAGCTCAGATCCCTGGGTTTTTGGTCCAACGCGAGTGCCCTCTCAGCGTCTCCTCTTTCCTCGCGAAGCCTGCAAGCAGCAAAGCAGATGGGTAAAAGCTTCAGTATCGATTCCGACGAGTGGCGACGTATCGGCCAGAGCGGAGGTGGACTCGGCTTGTGCGCTGGCCATTAATTAAATAATTATTCTAGTCTCGGTTCGAGCCAATCGCGTAGGAAGATAAGTACCGGTCTCTCTGTCGGTCACAGATTATATCTGATTATCGCCGTTTAATCAATTCGATTTTTTTTTTTCTTCCTTTCCATGCAGAGCTGTGGGAGATAGCGCCTTCTCGCGTAAAACCGGCCCTTCCTAGACTTTTTATTTCTTTCGCGGTACGTGGCACGTTCGGAGAACCGCGAATTTCTCGTATTACACTGTCGATTTGAAAGCAACTCGTTTCGCGAATCTGCTCACAAGTCCCGAACGCCTCTCTTTTATTTCCACTTTCTCGGTTTTCTCGAATGTTACTGATTTTACGAAAGCTCGTTGAGCTGTAACAGTGAGCCTTTCGCGGGTTCACTTGTGCAGCAGCTCGAGAAACTTTGTAATATTTCTATTTATGGTGCACGGTATGGTAACATTATATTCTGCATTCTCAATCACCAACACGACCTGAACAGATAGTTTATCATACCGTCGAATTGTAATAAATCGAACAGATCGAGAAGAGAAGCAACAACCCATTATTTATATACCGAATTTCTACAAAATTTGCTACAGGTTTTTATTAAAATTTGGTAAATGAGTAAATGCAAATCTAGCTTCTCAATGTGTGAAACACAGATACGTGACGCTGGGCCATATATGCAGATAATTCTGTTCGTTTTTATTGAGAAAAGAACATAAAAATTGACTGCCATCGCATATGTATGGACTCTCAATGGAGATCGATGCGTCACATATCTGTTAGCGAACGTGTTAAAGACAGCGGTCAGCGTTTTTACGAAGGAGAGCAACGAATTGTCGAAAGAAACGAATTTCTCGAGGATTTAGACGAATCCATTTTCCAAGAGTTGCGCAACGTAATTGGAAATTGGTGTTCCCCGGGCGATTAGTTATTCCTCGCAAACCCTCATCACCGAACCCCCCGATGTTCCTATCTTGGTCTTGGAAATTATTCTCCTGGGTATAGTTCTTCCTTCTTTTTTTCAGATCGAGGCAGGCCGCACGGACCGAGGGCGCCTTTTCGCACCTCGAATCGAACCGCGGACCATTAAGTAAGAAGTTAATATCATTAAACATAATATTGGGCGCATCTGGGAGCCGCAGAGCACTTACCGACCCACCGCCAACCACCCCCGCCGCAAACCGCTCTCTCCTCCGGCGGCTGTCGCCCCGCGCGAGAACCCGCGAGACCTTCACCCACCCCCGACACCCTCCCGCCCGCTGTTCCCCGACCGTTGCCACCCTTCCCGACCCCTCGAACCTTAATTTTTTAATGAGAAAATGCTTTCAAAGAGCCGGAGAGAAATACCGTGCGTCTACGAGCGATAAGTTACGGCCGCGTTAAGCGGAATGGAGGAGAACAACCGAGGATCTCCACCTTCTTTCCCTCTCGCTCACCGCCTTCCATCGTTTCCCTTTCCACGAGAGAGGCTTTCGAGAGACGACTACAAAATGCAAGATATCTCGTCGCTCGGGAGACGAACTCGCCGCGGCTCGTTCGACGACTAATTTTACGAGAGAGACGTGGAAATTTCGCAGAGACGTCCTATCCGCTAGCGATGTACCTATCAGCCAGCAAGTAACCACCCCTTTCGGCGTTCGAATCGTAGCGGTGCTCGCGCGCCTTCGATATTGCAACGACTTAATTTCCGAGGATAATTAAATTTTAATTGGTAATACGAGTCGATTAAGACGACCGATGGGTATCTCGATCCGCCTTCGGTTGCGGGCCCTGGCCTCCGTTTAGTCGCCGGTCCGGCAAATTTCGGGACGGGGTTGAGGATGCCGGAGAAAAGGGTCTAGGGAAAAGAGTCGGGGCGAAGAAATGAAAAAAAAACTGTTCGAAATTAGGGGAGAAAAGAGGCAGGAGGGGGGAGGCAGGCAAAGTCGATTCGTCAGGACGTCGCCGTAATACTGCAAGCAGCCAAGCAGCAGGGTTATTAAATTTCTAATTAGTCGAATATTACGGGTACAGCGTCAGTCGACTCCGGCGTCTTCACGGTTCCGGCCACAGAGCGTTTGCAGTTTGCGTGCGCGTTTACGTGCACCGGCGCGCGTTTAGTCGCGCGTTTGCCTAGCCTCGCGTGAGTAGGCATCTAGACGCTCGCGTAGCCTTTAAGCCGGCGTTAATACATCATGGATTTCATTACGCGTGCCTACGGCTTGCCGAGCGCGGCCAAGCCGTGTTTCTAGTCGCGAATAATTAGCGAACATTCGCCCCTCCCCCCCCCCCACCTTCCTTCATCCAGCTTCACAAACCCTTGCGTTCTGCTCCTGCGAGTGCTCGCGGAAAACGGAGAATTTACGCCGCGTCTTCTTTGTACATCGCGAACCGTTTCTCGATGTTTTCGGAAAACTCGCCGCCGCTGGTTGTTCGCTAGCTCGGCGTACGAGTGTGAATTTTAAGGAGGCACCGTGAAATTCACAGAAGGTACGACGAGGCTTTGTGCCACGAGACTGTAAATCTTATTGAGACTCGGAACGGATGAATCGATCGGGAGTCTCTCTTCGGTCTATAATAGAACGAAGACGGGCTACAAAGGCGGAACACGGAGCCCTCCCCTCCGCATCGAAAGCAGCTATTTTAGACGGAACCGTATCCTCGGGTCGATGATTGAACCGTATCAATCCTCGTCGTATCCATTATCGTGGTACAGTACGTAACGCGGCTAATAAACCGAACGAACGATGCTCCTCGCCCAGATCTTTACTTTTAATTTTGATTCGTTAATGACGAACACCGCGGGGCTTCCTTCCCCGATGCCCGGGGAACGAGGGACCCGCCCAGCGGGAGTTCATTAACAGGCGTATTTCGAACGCGAAGAAAGCGGCCTGCGATTCCTGATCGACCACGGCCGCTGTTCTCGCGCCGTGTATACATTGGTGCAATTGAAAAACGCGTACACCACGCGTTCCAAGCGGGCGTTTTTTAATCAACGCTTTTTCCGCCGCTGGAAATCGGGTTGAAACGGGCGGGTTGAAACGTGCGGTGTTTGCCCCCGTGTTTTGTTACTTTGCCGAAAAATCAAAAGCATCGTGCACGCGTGACGCGCGTTCCGATAATGACGGGGAACAGTTGTAATTTCAAGAGGACAAAGAGCCGGGCTAATTGGCCAAAGTATGCCGGCGTCCACGCTGCCGCGGCTTTTTCGATAAACGATCCACGGGAACGTCGATACTCGTCCGCCCCTCCCGTCGGCTTTTCCGCCGCTGGTCCGCTTCGAGTCGACCGAACGACGATTGACCGACGCCGTCGTAATTTTAATTACGCCCGTGGAATCCGAGGCGCGATTGTGTTACAGCTTCGCCGGTCCAAGCCCGAAAGGGGACAAACGACGCTTCGAGTATGACGGTTGGTCGGCGATGCCTGAAACTGCTCCAACGACGAAACGTTTGTCGTTTGTCCCTGAAATTTCCGCCGAGTAGTCGAAATAATAAACGAGAGGCAGAGGAGGCGCGGGGTTTTAGGTAACGAGAGCCAAAGCTCGCGATCTCGAAAACGCCACCCTAGCTGCGCCGCGGCGTGACATTCGAGGCGAAAGGGGTTCCCTCTCGTAACGAGTGTCGCGAAGCCGAGACTTCGTCCTTCGAGGATATTCCTTATTTCGCCAGCGCGTCAACTCGATAATTACGAACGAAACAGTCGAGCGCTGGGCGATCGTGTTACTGAAAAGATATTCGACGAATTTCGGCTCTCCAGCGGTACCTTTCTTCGGCCAAGGGTAAAAGTGCTCGTTCCACGAAACACGTTTGTTCTCGTACTTTCACGTGGCTGCAGAAAGGTTTTCGGAGACGGTGGTGGGAGAAAATATGAGAAACATAATTCAAGATAGAAGTCGGTGGCGGAGGGACGGAGGCAGAAATTGGCTCGGAGATGGAGAGAAGGCACCGGGACGAGTGTCAGAACGTTGCTTCTCCGGACGAACGGAATAAAGGGTCGGGAAGGAATCGAATTACACTCGGCCCAGTCGCCCCTGCCTTTCGATTTCTATACCGGATCTGCTCGCAAATATTATCCGACGTATCGGCAGACGGACAGCATTTATCAAACTGCGCGCGACCACTCGGACTCGAGGGAGCTCTCGGACCGATTCAATCACCGGATTCCAAGGATTCCAGTTCCTCTTCTACTCGTCGATCAAATCGATATCGTTCGTCGAATGAGACGTTCGGACTCGCGGCAAGTCTCACTGTTGCATAACCTCTCGACGCTCGTTAACGTTTCTTTGCTCGTTTATTAAATTACCACATTCGTCCAGTAACGATGCAAATTTGAGAGAGTTGTAGGAAAGTGGAAAATTTCTCCTTCTCCTGAATTTATAGCCGAGAATTGACACGTTTGACGATTAACCTCTTGCTACGCACGTTGGGAATTTTTTTGTCCCCAAAATTGCAATATTTTCACAATTTTTAAATATATTTAAGTACAACCAAATACACGGGCGAAACAAATGATAAATTTATTACTTCTCAATCATTTCTATCCAGTCACATCCTACCGACGAGTTCAACAAGAAAGCGACGAATTATTGTATACGGTTCACTCGTTATGGTCCTTGAAAACTCGTTAACCCCTTGCGCTGGCAACTGGTTCGCGGACCATAACGAGTGACCGAACCGTATACAATAATTCGTCGCTTTCTCGTTCTTTTGAACACACGTCGGTGTGATATCATTGGATAGAAATTATTAAGAAGTAATAAACTTGTCATTTGTCTTGTCTCGGTTACGTCGAAATATACTTAAAACTGAGAAAATTTAAATATACTTAAAACCTGAGAAAATGTTGCAATTTGGGACGAAAATTCTGCGTGGCACGTCATTCCAGCGCAAGAGATTAAACGGTGGACCTCGTACTTATG